ATACTCTGCATTCTCTCTTAGATCACCAAAGGAGCGAGCTCTCTCAATTTCTTTACTGTTTTCTGGCACTTCAATTTCATGAATTTTTGCTAGTTCTTTTTTCTTTTCTTTGTAAAATTTTTCCGTAGCAAGAAAACCACTGGTATTTGATTCCTCAAAACTAAACTTATCATTAAATTCAAATTGAGGAAAACGAGCAAGAATTTTTTCACGTATTTCTAAGATTTTATTTGGAATAACTTCGTTGAGCTCGCTAAGTAAAGAGTAAATATGCGAAATCTCTTGATGATTTATGGCATCAATTGCATTAGATAATTCTTCCTTATCAAATAAGAAATTTTTTATTAAGTTAAAATGCCGCCTATTCAATGGAATATTACGCTTGTTGTTGATGTTTCTCATGATGCTTATGGCTATACGGAGCAAGTTTGCGTAAATTTTCGGTTTCTCTGACAGTGAATTCACCCATTCTTTGTTTTTGTAGGTTGTTATAAACCAGATGTATGCTGAGCTGTATTTTAATGAGTTATTGTGGATATTTAAGTATATTTTTTCGAGCAAATCCTGATCACCACCGCTATCTATGCTACGCATCAATTCTTCATTGGGAAAGAAAGGGAAAAGCTGTATGAATATTTCCTGCCAGTTGTCTATTAAGTTTTTTATTTTCTCAAAAAAGAGAAGGCGGTAATCGACTATTTTGATATTACTTAGTGTAACAGCTAAGTCGTTGATGCTTAAAGAGTTTAGCGTTTCTTTGAATGATGCAGGAAGTACCCTGTTTTGGTTGGGAATATGACGTAAGGCTTCCTCGCATACAAAATATGCATAAAAATATTTTTCATTGTATTCGCTTCCACCGAGAAAGTTATAGAAAAAATCGAAAATCTGCCAAAAAAATTCAAGCTCTTCAGGGTTATCAATGTTTTTTATAGTAGAAAAGGTTTTTCGGAATAATTTTACTTTCCCTCGGAAATGTTCTTCCAGGTGCAGTAATTTATGACATTTTTCGAGGGGGCTTACTGCTACTTCTGAAAATGTGTAATGATCTACTTTGCTTGAGAGAATACCAAAGTGCTGATTTGTATCAAGTATTTTTCGTGCTTTAACACTCCATGAGGTCCATTCCTGGTTGCTAAGGATATCTGGTACTAGCTCAGTTTTTATTGTTTTCATATCCGCTGAACCCAAGCTCTTCAAGATGTTCATGAGTGTCCATTCAATTGAATTGAGCACCTTTTGATGTATCTTTTCTTGAGTAAGCGCACTTCTTATAACCCAGAAATGCGTTTTAGGCAATGTCTCTAAGGACACCACAGCCATGGCTATGTCCATGGTATGATTTCTTTTTTTAGAAAAATCGATAGTCAATGAAAGATGAGAAACTTCTTTTATTCTTCCTATTCCCCATTTACTGTGATGGACAAAGCTACCAGGAAAAAAAGATATGTGCTTTTCAAAATCAGCAATGGCTTCCAGTGCATTGCGCCAAGACTGATTGAGATTAGTCATACGGATAAATTCATCCACTTTATCGTTTTCCTTGTACCTCTCCTTATACGCTTCTACTAATTGCTCTCTATAGATAAAATTTTCAGTTTTAATTTTTAATAAACTTTTGAGAATTTTTATTTTTGTGTCTATGTCTAAATGAGATGCATTTTTATCTAGCATGGATTTATATAACTCTTCAGAGAATTCGATACCCATGGTGGTTTCTGCTTTTGGTATGAAGTTAAGAAAAAAACCAATATGCAGAGCATCTTTTTCAAGCAGGATTTCCCAGATATTTTTTATTTGCGTAGCATTTTTTTTGTGGAGGAAGCGGTTGAGGGCTTTGCGTAGATCTTGGATCGCATCATCTGTTTTCTTTGCACTGAATTTATACTTTGCAAGCTCGAATAAAAGATCGGCTTCCTCAAAATCATGCATAACTATTTTTTCCCAATTAGCAATTCTTTTTCCTTCTTGCTCGGAAATCTTATAAATTTCATCTAATTTTCTTAGAGCATGGATATTGTCTCGTATTCCAAGTATTTTTTGACAAAGGTGTTCTACTACAGCCCATTTACTGCTTTCAAAAAAAACATCGATAAGCTTAAACATGTCTTTGTCATCTATTGAGTGGTTGCTAAGACTGATAAGCCCTGAGATGTATAGTGCATACACACTATGTTTATTTTTAGCAAGATGTTCCTGACAGATTTGATATATTTCATCTTTATCATCATTTGTCAATGCATCTAGCAATGTATCTACAGCTGCAAAATTTTGTATCGAGAAAGTATCAAATGCGGCTCTTGTCCACTGCTCTTGATATATAAGTTCTGTTAGCTGTAATAATTTATTTTCCATCAGAGGCCTTTGGTGTTTTTTAGTTTCTTAGTACCACTTAATGTGTTTATATAAGTGAACTGTACCTACATTTAGTATAGTAGAAATTAAATAAATATTCTTAGTTTAAGCAATCCATTTCCTGTATTTTCTGGCAATAGCACAG